TCCCAGTTACCCCAGGCCCTGCTGAAAGAGAAATGGAGCTGTTTCTGTGCTTTGGCTGTTGGCAATGCCCCATTTTGCTGTTACTGGGTACACTGGGTGGTCTCTGGGGTGAGGCAGAGGCCCTGTTAGGAAGCTGCTGCACCTGCTGAAGCACATGGGTCTAAATCTGGGGTTTTTTTCTTGCTTGTACCCAGATTCGCTACAAGGAGGAGTTTGAGAAGAACAAGGGGAAAGGCTTCAGCGTGGTGGCTGACACCCCGGAGCTGCAGAGGATCAAGAAGACTCAGGATCAGATCAGCAACGTGAGTAGCTCCTGGTCTCTGTGTCCGATATCGCTGTGCCCTTCCTGCTGCCCCGGGGGAGCTCTGCCCATGCGGACCCCCTGCTCTGGCAGTGGCTAATGAGGCTGCTAATGAGGCTGCAGCATCTGGAAAGCCTGGCAGTGTTAATTCTCCAGCCCATTTGCCCTGGCATCTTGTGAGCATCCTCTGGCGGATGCTGCAGCTGCATCCCGAGGGGAAGCGTGTCCTTTGCTTTCCCGAGATGCTCAAGTCCATGTTGATGGTGAAGGGCAAGAAGGGGAGCAGCAGAGAGGCATTTGGTGGGGACAGATGTGGACTGAGACAGTCCCACCCCCCCCCGGTTGTGCTGAGGTTGAGGGGTTCACAGCACCACCTCCCTCCTCCCTTCACCCTCTGCAAGGGGAGCCCCGTGCCGTGTCTGCGAGAGCCCCAGCTCTTCCGTTCCTGAAAACATCACATTAAACACATGCCCAGGTTGAGCAGCAGCTGCCCTGGCAGCTTGCACCGCCCCCAGCATCCTCGGTCCGTGTCCGGGTGCCGGCAGCGTGGCCTGGTTCGGCGGTGCAGTACGGCGGTGCGGCGCGGTACGTGGCGGACGTGGAGCTCTGCGCGTTGCCATGGCGAGGGAGGAGGATGCACGCTCGCACGTCCGGCTGCGGCACCGCCTGCGTCAGGCGCGGGGTGCATCCATCCCCTGCCCAAACTCGGCCCCGAGTTCATTAACCTTTATCATCCAGCGAAAGCCGCGCTGCTCCTTATCAAACACCCGGGAGCTGCTGCAAAATGCACGGCAGGGACGGCTGCTTTCGTCCTGATCATTAAACTCACCCCTGAAGCGCAGCTTTGCGTCAGAAAACTCTTGAGCATCCATGACTGATGGCTTCTGCGACTGTGCAGTGGCCTGAGCTGCTCCTGCTTCTCCATCCTCCCAGGGATGGAGCTTGGGGGTGGGAGCTGCTGGGTCCAGGGAGGGGGGACGGTGCCTGCGCCCACAGTGGCAGCCCCCATGCACAGGAGAAGGGGGGAGAGAAGGGAGGAGGTTGTTTATTCCCCCTTCTGATCCTGTTGTGCTGTTCTCCACCGGGTCCTGCTGTCCCCTTAGGGATGTTGTCTGCACACCAAACCCCAGCACAGCCAGGGCTGGGGAAGGTTTCCCTTTGGGAAAATTTGGGAGATTTTTCCTGGGGGCAGCTCCTCAGTGGGGTCTGAGCGGGCGCAGCTGAGCACAGCATCCCTGGCACAGAGTGGGGCTGGGGTCTCTGTTACAGAAAACACAGGGGTTTTTTGAGAGAGAGAATCTGTGGAGGTTTTGGGCCATTAAATAACACAGCAGAGAGCCAAGACCAGCCCATGTCCATCCCCTTCGCCCTCTCCCAGCCATGGGAGTGGTTTTGGCAGCTTCCCCATGGGCATCTGCCCGCCAGATTGGGGTTGCCGTGACCACTTCATAAAGACACAAAAACACCCCCCATCCCTGCAAAAAGCCTGGCCCAGCAGGCAGCGTTGGGCTCCCAGGGGTGCAGCAAAGGAGGGTGCCCCAAATTGCCTGTGGTGGAGGGTGCTGGTGTGGTTCTGGTGATGGAGCTGTGCAAAGCCTGAGCCCCCAGTGCCGGGTGATGAGGCTGCCCCTGCGCAGGGTCCCTGCAGTGGTGGGGAAAGCGAGATGCACCCTTTTTGGGGTGTTTCCTTGCTCCACACTCTGCCTCCTGCCCAAAGCCTGTGGCAGTGCCTGGTAAATCATTGTTTACCCAGCAAACAAATGGGCTCCAGGTGCTTTCCGATGGCAGCGCATTCATTAACCAATGGAGGGGGCTGTTAATTTTGACACCCACGCAGGCGGTTGGGTTAACCCTGCCCTGGCCACGGAGGGAAGGCTCAGGCTGATGTGTTTGGGGGTGGCTGCTTTGAGAGTCCCCCAGCAAAAACCCTTGTGGTTAAGGACCTGTATATCTCTTGGTGGATTTTGTGGAGAAAACTTCTTGTGAAAAACAGCATTGCAACTGTTTCTGGGTTGGTTGGTTTGGTGCGGGGCTGAACAGCATCAAGCAGGGAGTCAGGGATGGGTGTAGATTCGTTCCCCTGTTACACGGGTTGGGATGGACACATCTTGGTTAAAACTTGGAGTTTAGAAGGTTGTTTCCCAAGGTTATTTTATATAATAATAACAATAACTTTTATTATTATTATTGTTGTTGTTATATCCCTGCTCTTGAATCTCACCCGTGCCTGAAAAAATTACAAATTTCACCCATAGGACACCAAAAACTTCTCCTTTCTGGGCCAGAAGCTGGGGTCTGAGCAAATGTCCCTGGGGAGATGGGATGGGGGTCCCCCAGGGCTGCTGGGGGCTGTGAGATGGTGGACGCTGAGCCAAAATCAAAAGAAATGAGCTGGGATGGGGTGCAGGACGTTGCTGGTGCTGAAGGGCTGCGGGAGCCGCTGCCATGGCCGTGCTCTGACCCCCGTCCCCTCCTGTCACAGATCAAATACCACGAGGAGTTCGAGCGGAGCCGGATGGGCCCCAGCCCCAGCGAGGGCACGGAGCCGGAGCGCAGGAACTCCCCGGAGAGCACCGGGTACCGGAGACCCCCGGAGCAGCAGCACCAGCAGCACCACGTCCAGCCCAGCAACCCAGGTATGGGGGG